GTACATGATGTTGACTTGTTTGTGGCAGTAAGCCGCAACGGTAATGTTGTGGCCGACAGGAGGCCATGTGGCAGTTTCTCATTCCATGTCCGAACAGCATGCAGTTCACGCATTGGGTGACATCACGGTGGACTGGCTTGTACTGTTCCCACGATGTGGAAAAGGGCCCGAATACTCTGGAGGTCCTTCAAGTATGTTGAATTCCTGACTGACTGTGTGACTGTTTCCATGTCGGGAAGGTCACGCTTGAGCGGCTGAGAGCAATACTCCACGTTTTTCTGCTTCAGCAACGCCTCGACGGCCTTGTAGTTGTTTATCGATGGAACCATCACTTGGTGCACTTGAAATATTTACTAATGTAAAAGTTTTTCCCACAAGCCTTCTGGGAATCCTTTCACGAAGAACCTTCGGTTCATCGTCGTTTACCAGGCTGGCGTAACGATTGTTCGCCAACAGTGGTGGTGTCCGATCGGGACTGTTTCCCGGCCAGAATAGCTGTCGCGTCAACATGCGGCGGTTTCCACATGCTGGGGTCGGGCGATGCTTCACCAAACACCGCGAAAAAAGATGCGGGAACACTATCGCAATGAACTAGCGAACAACTCGAGAGAGCGAGTAAAAACCAAACTGTACTGCTTGACGGTCAAGCGTAAAATCGAAGACAACAAATCAAGAAGACTGGCAACTTTGCCAGAATCCAAGCGACAGATACAGTAGCGCTGCGTTTGAGTGAAGGTGGAAGCAACGCATAGAAAAATGAGCAAATTCACAAACCCTTCGTCTGAGGATGTAATCTTTGCTATCAAATTCGTTCGAAACATTGACCTTTGGGCGGCAGATGACGCGATTTTACCTGTCTCATAGCGTTCGTATGAGAAAATAGAAGAGTTGCCAGTCTTCTTGATTTGTTGTCTTCGGTAAAATCCTGACCACAAGTTGCTGTAGCGTAGATGCGAATTTCATGTTCAGTCTGATCTAGGCTTTTACCAGATGATTCTCCTTAAAAGAACTCTCCAGAGACTCCACTTTCTTAAATCTCATTCACTTCCGGTGCGGTGTCGTCCGGGTTTCCGTCGTATGGGGTTTCTGCTGAACGAATGTATAGTTTGCTACTACTTGCTGCTTCGGAAGATAGCACAGAATCACAAACTAATCCGGTAAGTCGCAAACGATGCCCTGGATAAAACGACGTGCACAAACTAATTATTTTGCATGTTTATTAAAAAGAGTTTTTGTTTCTTTTAGCGGTTCATGTGCTAACAGTTTATCAAGAATTTTACTTACGGAAATTAACTGGAATAGTAAATAGTACTTCCAAGTAATTTTTACTGGTCGTAAACACTTTTGAATCTGGTCGGTTGTTATGGTCAGTACATTAAAAAAGTCCACTCCGCATTCTGTCCAAAAGAGAGAAAAAATCCAAAATACATAATTTTTGCATAATTGTAATTGTCGATAATTGTCAGTATCGGCAGAATGGTGTTCCCAAGGTACGTGATTTTCACGTACCAGGTTAACAAAGTAGATATGAAATGTGTTCCAGATGAAAATCAGATGCTAACAACTAGATTCTACTTGTGTCAGGGAACCTCACAAGAAGCAATATTTTTTTAGATCTGTTAAATATGCATATTATTGAATCAGAAAAACAAAACATTTCGAACCGTTGCATTTTTTATTATATTTTATTTGTTACTGAATAATGTTTATAAAGTGCATTGCATTCTTAAAAAATATTCTTAGTAGGAGAATTTGAAAATAATCTGTGCAATGATGAGATTACAGGAAATTCCAGGTATTTTTATGAAACATAAATTTCCCTGTGAATTCTAGTGTTCGGATCAAAGAAAAACAAAACCGTTTTTTTTTTGTAAATCAACCGTAAATAAAGTTGTTGTTCCTCCTTCAAACAACCTTTCTTCTACCTTGACAGCTCTGAAATGTTCTTTCGCCTATCTGTGAGTCGTCTGCTTGCTGTTCCGTGTTTTGTAACCTCCACTGACCTAAATGTGTCCACAAACTTTCTACAAATTTCCAAAGCACAGAATACTAAAAAACTCACATTTAAGTACTTTCTAAACGATTCTGCACAGAAATTCAAAACAACCCAAAATTAAGTTCTTTTCACTCATCTCCCATGTTCCGTACGATAAGCCAAATTTGGGTAAACCGGCTCAAAGTAGTTTGCATTTAAGGACGGCAAAAAAAATTACCCATCGCTAAGTTATTTTCAATTTTTTCTACCCAAAATTAAGTTCAATTAACTCAAATTTGGGTATATCACATATTACTCAATTTTGGCTTCTCGTACGGAACTAGACGGTTGAGTCGAATCTTTCGTTCTATTTTTGACAACAATAGCGAGAGGAAATGAAACGGGCAGAGGTCAAATAACTCAAATTTGAGTTTAAAAAACCCAAGCGGTGGGTAGTTTTGTTTTTCTGTGTGTACCTTCCGTTCTTTGACAGATTATCTTCTATCTATCTATCTAAAGAGCCTGAATTTAGACTCTTTATATCTATCTATCCTCCTCTCTTCAATCCGTCACTTCATCTGTCATACTTACTACCTCATCGTCCAAATTCACTGCAGCGATGGAGGAGGGCAACGGCCAGTGTTGCCAGAACATCTAGGTTCTCCAGGTTTTTTTTTTCATAAACCAGACACACGGTCATATCACCTAGCAATGAGCTGGATTACCGAGGTGGAGCAATCGGTTAAGTTGTGTGAGTAAAACCCCTGTACGATACAAGCAATTAGTGACGTCACTACTTGCATTTACGCTGATTTTTTGGTTTACTAATACAACAATATTTCACGATCTGCTTCACCTCTCTCTGTACCTCATTGATCACCTAGTACCAGTTGAATTACACTGAACTAACGAGAAACGTAAATTTCACCTGAAAAATCAGGTAACCTTTCAAAAATATAAATCCAATAAGAATTACATGCTGCACATAAATATCAATGGCATGGTCATGAATTCCACTTGATTGACTGATGGAGTTCAAGTGCTATACAGATAAATGTTAAGTGAAGTTCACGTAAATTTTTAGTGACCTCATGATGTGAAAACTGTCTGCGTATTTGTTAGTTCAAAATGGCGGCAGATGAAAATATGCGATTTTTGTTTCTAGGAGATTGGGATTTTTAATGTTTGTGAGCGTAAGTTTGATTAATATCAATATATGAATCCTAATTTTCAATACCCAAAATAAATTGAAGAGTGTAAAATCGGATTGAGCAGTCCTCACAAGCTTAATGGCCGAACTACAGGAGTGCTTACAACAAAAAGACGTCTATTGGAGACATGATGTCCTTTTCGAAGTTATCGGTTGTTGGAGGAAAATAAATGTAAGGATCAAACTTAATGTTTTAAATAAACCAATAACCAACTTTAGCTTTATTCAGGAGCAGCAATTTTTATAGAGCATTATGGAGCAAACAAATTCAAAACAATCAACTTAACAACAACCAGTGCAACAGGATATAGAATTAAGAATACGTTTAATACACATGATATTTACTAAAAAAAACAGTTTTATGTTAATTATAATAAAGTAAAAATTGAACAAATAAGTTAAATTTTATTTAAAAAAATCCGGATGAAATAATGCAATACCACTGTATTAAAACACATGAAACATACCACAAATTCACATAAATATTACTACAAAATCCAGTGACGATTACTAAACAATTCACGTAACTTTTAAGTAAATCTAATTTGACGATCATCGGAACAACCGATAAAATTTACGTGAAAATCACTTGATTTTCATATGAATCACTTGAAACAGCATTTCATTCCCAAAACACGTAATATTCACCTGAAAAGTATGATGGAAAATATCTACGTACCTTGTCAGGTGAATATTACGTGAATTGTATTTGCAGTGTATCAAGCTATGTCACGCATTATACTTTTAGTAATGTACGAAAATAAAACATCAGTTTCTAGAAGCCACGATTTTGATCGAGTTAGCGCCATTTCTATCTTGTATATATGAAGACAAATGAAAAAAAAAAAAAATTTGATTACTTAGCGCGAAAATGACGAAAACAACACTGCGTATATTCGTTATGAATTAGGTAACACCGTAAATTTCCAAAATATATAAATGTTAATAGTATAGAGGCTTAGATAGCTCTCAAATAGAAACTATGGAAGTGCTCAAAGAACACTCCGCCGAGTGCAATAAATTAATCGTTCATGTTTGCTGCGTTGAGATCCGCAAAGTGAGTCTTAATTAATTATCAATGCTACTTCTCGCCGTAGATATTTGAAAATGTCTACACTAACTCAGGCCGCAGTCAGAGTGAAGAGGTACTGACTGATAAGGTCTACCAACCCTATCAGCCTCCCTGAACTGTGACCTACAGGACTCCGGAATACTATCCGCTCTGCCATACCTGGCGATGTCCATCATTCTTAAGCACATCCTGATATCTGGCTGGTTGGCTGCAGATCCACGGCTACCTCAGCAACACCCAGGTCCAGAAGTACTTCACTTGCTTGTATGCATGTTGATCTGGGCTTTGACCTTAAGTCCTGCTCCTACGGTTATCTGTGTTACTCTGGTCGTTGGCTTTGGCAGAGTCGCATGGTGCGATTACCTGCTGAGCCCCTTAGATATTTCTCCGAAAAGTGTAGCTGTTCTGAAGGGGATTACCAACGGATTCGGTACCATCTCCGGAGTCATAATACCCATCGTTACGGGACATAGTACAACCAACAACAGTGAAGACGAGTTGCGACTTGTGTTCTACACATAATGGGAACCTTAGTCTACTGCTTCTGAACCTCCGCTGAACTACGACCCTTGGAATATGAAGTTACAGAGCTGCAAGCCCTACACTGAATCTGGTTTCATCAACAACTGAGTAGAAAATAAATAAGTTTGATATTCATTGACATCGAATTTGTCGGTGTAAACTATTTTAATCAACATTCCAGAAAATTTCAGCACAAATCACACCCTTCACACTCTTGTTCGTTAAACATTGATGTGACTTCCAGCCTCAATGTGATTGATGTTGTCGAAGAAACACGCACATCCCACTGAACTGCCAGCCTTATGACCTTGGGCGATCCGGTTCTCGAAGAACTTGACATCGTCCTCACACTCGTACTTGGAACAGGTTTGCGCTTGACTCAGAATTGACTGACCCTTTCCAGCTAGTCGGACAGATTCTTTTCCGTCGTAAATACTTCGTACTTCCTTCACTCGATTCTTGTGGTGCACATCCCAGCAGAAAATTTTCCTGTTGAGAACATCAATTTCCTCCAATTCCAGATTCCGTTCGATTAATCTTTTGGCGATGATCTTCCAAGCACCGATTTCGATTTTCACCGTTGGATTGGGCTTGATGATCTTGGCTTCATCTGGTGATGTTGTTGGTGACATCCTGAAACAAGAAGAAAAACATTGTAAAATTTTATTCGTTCTGATTTACATCCGGAATCTCATTGAAAATTTTCGGCGAAACTTTTTATTCAAACGTGAAATCTGTGTTGTTAGGTATGCACGTCTTCATCAACCGATGCCTGCGGTGTATAATTTGTATCTTGTGGCCTCTCAACTGGACCACGAAAGATGAGCACCACCGTAGATATATTCAGAAATTCGTGAAAATGGGTCGGCAACACACAACGAAGGGGCGGAAACCACATTTGAACTTGAAACCCGGACGAACATCGCAGCAGAAGCAGACCCACGGCGGAGCCTCATCAAGGAAATAAACGAAGCCGCTAGGAATCTAACCTGGGCCCAGCTGCCGAAGCGCACCAACATCCGGAATGACTACGAATCCATCACATTTTAACCGCTAGGAAATCCGGATTCACCCGCACACTTCTGGCTAAAAAAATCACCTAACTCAGTCGCACAATAAAAACCTCAACCATCCTATCACACTCTGTTGAAAAAATTTCGGTTGTTAATGTGTCGCGAAAAAAAATGACACTTCAATGAAGAAGAAAACACGCACGCCTACGTTGATCCAAAAGTCCGATTTTCACGACTTTCACCCACTGCGCATCATCTTCCAGTCGCTACCATAGCAACACCATCGTAACCAAATTTTCACATGCCGAGAGTCTATATAAGGAAGACTGCTGCTAACAATCGACAAGAGGCTTTTGAGGTAGTTACCAAGCGGACGTCTTTTTGATCGCTCTTCCCTGTTTTTCAAGATTCGACAGATTTTCATCATGTTTGCTAGCAAGGCGAAACACGGTCGCGATGCTCGGAAGACCCGGTCCAGTCGGAATGTTAGACCGGTGTCTTTGCCAGATTTTATGAGAACCGACCCTGATGGCACACTTACGGCCATTTACCAGCGCATAAAGGCGGCTTCTTCAAAGCCGAAGTTGCCAAAAGCGCAGGATCGTTGGGAGGTTCTCAGAAAATTGCCGGTGACCGATGAATACGATGATGTAAGGTCACCGGTCGGAAAGTACATCCGACGGCCGTTTAAGGCTTCTACTAGTAAACAGTTGATTGGTGTGGGAATTGGAAGCGACGTTCCAGATTATCGTCTTGGAACTACCCCGGATGCCTCAAAGGCGGATTGTGGTAAGGATAATTTTGATTTAGAATTAGATATTAATATGAATTTAGGAGATAGGGAGGGTTTTCAAGGTCATTCCCAAATTTTATGTCAGGCATTTAGGTATAACCGAGCCGATGTAGATTCGGTTCTATTAGAAGGTATATCCAAGGTACAGGAATGCGAAACGACATTAGCAGTATTCGAAACATACGCCAAGATACACCATGATATTTTGGAACGAGTGACGTATGTTTCGACCACTGCTGATGTATCTACGCAAACTACTGTCCCAAAATTACAGCGAACACAGCTGAACTATATATATGCTGGATTTTGGGAGAGGTGTACCTTGAGAGAAAATCAAGGTATGCAAACCGAAGATCAAAATTTGACGTCTCCGAAGCAGCCTACTGTGGTGATTCAGAAAGATGCTAGTGGCCCAAATTCTAATTTGATAAAAAATCTTTTTGGTTGGAAATCTGTTGGATTGACCTTTTTTGTTTCGGCCCTGGTCCTCGGTTTGCTGGAAATTCCAAATTACATCTAGCAGATTGGCATTGATTTTTGTTATTTGGATCGAGCTCACTGGTGGTCCAACGAATTTCATCAAAATTAATTAGCTTCTCCGAGGTCTTCTGGCGAGTAAAGATGTTGTAGCCGGGTACAAACGAATACTTCGAGCTACCATCTTTTCTACGAGAATTCCTCGGAACCCATTAACACCGGATAGGGACCTTTTGGTGAAAAAAAAAATCGTTTAGGGACCGTGCTTGGATGGCTAAACCCATTGGGAATGGCTTCCAAGCAAACCAATCGATGTAGCAGAATGCTTCAATCGAAGATCTTTTTGTTTATGAAGTTTGAAGGACCACTATCGTGAGCTCGATCATCGCATTTCAGAGTATTTAGCAGTGTTAGGGTTTAGATGTAGTATTTATGTAGAAAAAGAATTAGGTAGATTGATAGGAGCTAGGGCAGGAGCACATATGTGATTGGCAGGGAATGTGGTGGGAGTTTAAATGTACTGAAAAGTCATCCCTTTTGATAATTTTGATCGAAACTGGTTGAAAATCGGTTTGGATCGAAATTTGGAATAGAGAGGTGACTTTTCAATACATTTAACGGGGCCTATCACATATGTGCTCCTTTTATCTTGTTAGTTAGGTACTTCCAAATTTACAGTTCACTTATAGTAGCTAGTTAGTTAAAAGAGTGGTATCACATTTCCCGGATTTTATTTTCAGAATGAGCTATTTAGTAACGTACTGTTTTCGGCAATATTTTCGTAACCAAATTTGATTGAAATGGGAATATTTCCTTCTTTGAGTGTTCATTACGTTGTTTGATTATTTTTGTTTTTCGTTTTCTTTTCGTTTGATTATTGTTATTTCTGTTATTTGATATTTGAATAAAGAAGGAAACATTCCCATTAGCAAAATTTTGAATATAGAAATAACTTTTTTTTCCGTTTTGATTGCACGTGATTTCCTACTTTCACGTAAATGGTCCATTTTGGAAACGAAACTCCGGGAAATGTGATACCACCCTTAGAAGCGTTTTTAATCAGTTAGGAGCTAGGGCAGGAGCACATATGTGATTGGCAGGGAATGTGGTGGGAGTTTAAGGGTACTGAATTCTTTGTTCAGTACTTTTAACGGGGCTTCTCACATATGTGCTCCTTTATTATTAAAACACAGGATAGAGTCGACTTCAGGTCAGAGAAAGTTGGTAGTTTGAATGAAAGTGTATTATGTAGAAGAGCTAGAGCCGAAACGAGAATTTAATGAACAGGAAATGTAGTCCCACATTTGAAATGATCTGTAATTTTTTTCTTTGTCAATTAAAATTGTAATTGTAGGTTAATATTTTCATCCCATCTTTTGTATGAATTAAAATGTTCAATTCAGTGTATCAATTAAGTGGTGTTGCTTAATTTGGTTCAATTAAGTGTTTAAGGCTTCAAAAGATCCTGTTGACCAATGAATTCTTCAAATAGTATTGCCAAACTAAAGCTAACCAAGACACCATTATGGAATGCTCTTCGGCAGGGGAACTATGCCATTAGCGCGAAGCATTTTTAAACCACTGATGCTGGCGCCAACTAGTATTGTGTTTACTATTTGTTCATCACTTGATTCAATAGGATCAGATCCACCGTTAGGACAAGATGGGTAAGTGTGACAGTTTTTGATCTTAGTGTTCCTCTAATTGACCCTGTCTTGTTGAGGAGGTACGTTTGGTTCATTGTTTGATCTCATGCTTGCAGGATAAAATTATAAACATGGTTTGCAGCTATATCTCGTGCAGGTTTTATACCAATCTGATGCTTTACATTAGTTTTAGACAATCCAAGAAATTTGAATGTTTATTTCAAGTTATAAAAATAAAATTCAGATGAGGACCTTTCGTTTGAGCTTATTGTCAAAACTGTCAACCCAATAACAAAAGTTTAACGTAAAAAAAACACGGTGCACAAAGGCAATTCATTACTCTGCGAGTAGCTTAGCTCTTACATACACAAAAAGAAGGACGAGCTTTTCCTAGCACTAGAGAGGGTCTAGGATAAGAGATGAGTGGACTGGTTGATTTTAAGTCAACCGAACTGTCAAAGCCAGAGCTAATCGAGAAACGCATATCTTGAAATGGCAGTGTTGCTAGAAACCACCTACGCATATGTTGCCAAAGTCGTTTGTTTATGTTGGAGTACGAGTTAATACGCTGTGCTTTATCTATACATTTATCTGTGCTGGCTAACTGATTATTAGCCTATTCTCGAAAATATTTCGCAGTGTTTTAAACGTGTTTTTAAGAGTTGATAATAGAATAGTAACGCAGAGTGAAGCTTGCAATTATGATGTCGATCATTTTTTTTTTTTGGCAACCTTGTGTGTACACTTGGGATGACTTCACAAGGGTTGTGAATGTTTCCTCTGTTATCCTGATTGGTGCAAACCTAGGGGCATCCCACTCTAAACTTTGTATTTCTCTTGGTAGTTCATACTGATATCAACGATACCTATAAATATTTTCAAATACTTAAAAATACTTAAGAAATATTTAGCATTAATTTGTTTGCTTGGTTGCTACACAAACTTCCTTTGTTTTTTTTTAGCTGATGTCAGAGGTTTTGTGTGGATATTTACAGTGATTTCAGATATTACATATTAGCGAAAACACGCTTTTACATTCGCATATCCGGCTGCCCATCAGTGAAACGTAAAATGTACTGAAATATGCATTGCATCCTACTAGTGCAGTACCTACATCAGTACCGTGCCCACTTATACGCCATCTAGAGCCCAGTCTAGAACTGTCAATTGTGTGCAAGTACTGGTCTAAATTAAACAGGAACAATAACAGTTGGACATTCCTGGTAAACCCCTTGGTCGTTTTACCAGTTGTGAACCAGAGATCTGATACAGCGTGTTTTTTTTTTTAATAATTGGAAACTGAGTACTAAGACACACGACGGATAATACATAATACATCAGCTTTTAATTTTCAGTATCCAAGATATCCCCCAGGAAGCCCCTCTGCACTTACTTGAACCATGGCCTGATTTCTGTTTCTCATCATCATCGAGGAACTCTTTCTGTGGCTACCTCGTGCTGACGTTGACAAAATGGACAGTATTTGCGGGCCGTCCACCCGGAACTATGTAGAAACTTCAAACATAGCCTTGAGCGACTAAAGCCTGCCAATAAAGACGTCACACTGCACTTGAGTGATTCGTCAGGTATTAAACGACAATATCCTAATAGCAGGTCAGTTTCATCAAAGAAACGCCGTTAGGTTGTTTATCTTGGCTGTTCCTGGTTTAAGGAACTAATAGTGATCGAGATGGAAGAGAATGCATCCAAAAGAGTAACCGAATACGAATGCAAAGTTTCGGACAAAATTCAGCAGAAGCAAGATCAATCATCGAAATCGAACATACCAATGCAAGAACAAAGCCGCTGATACCCCACGAAACATTTTGTGTTAGGATGCCGTATTCTAATAAGAACAAATTTAAATTTAAATTTTATTATTTAATAACGTTAGCTTTGACGTCCGCCAAAACAAACGAAAATATATAATACAGTTAGAATAAATTTAACGAACAAAAACAACTTGTTGCAATATTTTTGTGAGAAGATGGAGTACCCTTTCATTTCCTAGATATCGGATAACGGTTGGTCCTAAATTCGTACCCAACGAGGAATCATTCACGGAATCATATTTCTGCCACTATCGAAAGCTTTCCATAATTTCGTTATTTTCGGCAATCTCCACTATTTATTCCACCTAGTCAGCAACTCCAGTGTTCTATCTTTCTATGTTATCTGACCAGAAACGTTTAGGATTTTGTTTTAGATCATTTTGCTTTCGCAGAACATATCTCGAATAGCTGGCCCTACAAAAATCGTGTTTAGTGAGCACATCCCGCGCATGGGAGTATTTTTTCAACGCAGCAAATCTCTTACGTTTAAGTCGACGGAGCCGAACATTTAACCAGGTTGGCTTCTGCTTCGGTCTCGGTTGAGGAACATATTTGCAAAGAAGCGACAAATACATCCAGCATAATCAGCGCGGTGAAAATCAAACTCACTTTTATCAGGTTTATCATTGTATCCTCCAAGAGGCGGACAGCTAAGCTTGACAAAGACTGAAGGATGAAACGGATGATCAGCATCAATGAGAGCTTCAATCAGGTGTTTGAATTACGTCCCACTGATTGACTGCGCCGGCATTAGCAAATATCAAATCCAAGATTCGGTTAACATAATTAATCTGCTTCATGTCGTGTCGAGTAATGCCATTCCATCGACGGGCGCAAGTGAATGTAGAGCTGACAGAATTGATGTAAACTTGTCCAGAAGCTGATGATTTCCAGCAGAGACCAGATTGATTATAATCACCAAACAGTAGGTGAGGTCCAAGTTTCTCGGATATGACCAACGTAGATCCCTAGATGTCTTTCAACACAAGTCGTGGAAGTAGAAGAATCGGGAGGGATGTATACGTTACACCACGACCGACCATTCAAACCCATGCTTGAGGCTACCAATCAGCGAAGACGTCAGCAAAACCCAACCGACACCCGTAGCAACAAATCGATGACGTGCGCAAAACCAGTCAAACTACGCGAACCAAGATTGCATCAGAATCAAACCACCCGGAGGAATGGCGAATCAGCAGATTTAGTTTATAAAAGTGTTCTAAATTTATTTCGAGCTTCAGTCTTTAAGTGCGTATGTACCTACGTAAACGGTCGGTTAAGAATAATAAATTGTCACTCTGGACTTAATTGTTATAATTTATACAACGCCAAGACAAATTGTTCGACAGCCTCTATTCAAATTAACCCATAGATGTTCTATGCCACCGTCATCAACGATTGTTGATTCCGACGAACTGTAGCGTTTTGAGATGGCAATCAACACACTTCCTCCTCTTATTTGTCCCGTAGTAATCATAACGTCCATATCCGAATCGCTAACCGAGATGAAGAGGTCGTCAACTTTAGTGCAAAGACATCTGACGTTCTGGTAGCATATGCGGATGCAGTCAACGTTCAAACAGAGTTGTCTGCATTATCGGTAATAGTCGTGGAAATAGTAATCTCTTAGCGGTTCATGGATGGCAGTATTCGGAATACCAACGGTGTCAGTCTCAGTCAGCCTTGCGTAGTCACCTCGATAACAGATATTTCCGTTTAGGTTGTGTCAGTAACAGGCTGAAGTAGGTAGTTACCATACCGGCTTCGGCGAGATATAAATCACTGTTGAACTAACCTGACAAAGCAGGAAGAGCATCCGAGTGGTAGGTATGCTCCGAAATCTTCATCTGATGGTAGTTGGTGGCCATGGGTAGCGGATTGGACGATCCCTACACCGAAGGACGACTGTTGATCCATGACGGGCAGGAATATCAGGGGAATAGAAGATAGTTGATGGATCGGCGTAGCGCTGGAACTGAAGAACGAATTAAGTGTTGATCTCGTCTGAAAATATTCGTACTTACCTGCAGTTTCAGGTTGGAAGGCCCCTTCTCCAATCGCACATACAGAGCCAGGACGACTGTTGAACAACGGCTACAGTGTCAGGATTGTGGTGGGAGGATCGGTTGCCTCCATAGAATCAACATCGTTGCATCCCAGAGTCGATCCAGGAATATATCAGTTGATTGAGTAACTAACCATTTGTCTGGCATTATGCAGGCGCTTCTGAAAAATTGGGCAGAAATCACTTCAAGCTGAGTGGTCGATGCTGAGTTCTTTGTCCTTTGCATGGTTACGCAGTTTGTTCACCAGTTCACAATTAACACACTTTACGAAAGTAGATTCACATTCTTTTGCTTCGTGATCACCAGGCACATTTTGGGGCAGCAAGTAGAGTTGTTTCAGGCAGATGCTGTATGGCAAACTGCGAAAATTTGATGCAGTGCAAAATATTGATTTCTTTAACCACTCTACATCGATTCCAGCACAGGTAGACGCGTTACAGCTTGATCAAAGTTTCAAATGTCTGCGGCTCGGTTTCCAAGACAGAAGTAAGTGGATTGTAGGTTCAATTTTCAATTCTGCGACTAACACTGATGTCCGAGGAGAACGGAAGATTGTTTTACTTTTTCAGTTTTAGAACAATTTCACCAGCACTTAAATGATTTATATCCATGAGCATGATCACTTGTTTCGCACCGTACGGCAACATTCCATCGAACATCTTTGATCGAACAAGCAAGCAGCAGGATATAACTTCGAGCGAATATCATTAAATTCAATTCAGCTCGTTGATTTCCCTTTAGCTTGATAATTACAGTTAGTTCACTCTTGTTGGATATCGCTGCGACTCTTCTGCCAAACCCCAAGAGAGACTGGCCTGTCGGACTCTTTCCACTTCAATAATTTCAGTAACCAGGCTTGGGTCCGCTGATTGATCCGTTCCCTGAAAATAAAACAAAAATGGTTAGCAATCAACTTAAGCAATAGCAATAGCAATAACATCAAGGAAATAAAAGCAGTCGACAGGAATCTAACCTGGGCCCAGCAAGCAGGCGTCCAGGATGAATATCTTTCACAATGGCCCTTTGTACCACTAGGTCGCACATTCAAGACCTCAACCATCCTAACACTATTCGTTACAATTTCTTCAGTTGATATTGCGTCGTGAAAAAAAATGACACTTCAATGAAGAAAAAAACACGCACGCCTACGTTGATCCAAAAGTCCGATTTTCACGACTTTCACCCACTGCGCATCATCTTCCAGTCGCTACCATAGCAACACCATCGTAACCAAATTTTCACATGCCGAGAGTCTATATAAGGAAGACTGCTGCTAACAATCGACAAGAGGCTTTTGAGGTAGTTACCAAGCGGACGTCTTTTTGATCGCTCTTCCCTGTTTTTCAAGATTCGACAGATTTTCATCATGTTTGCTAGCAAGGCGAAACACGGTCGCGATGCTCGGCAGACCCGGTCCAGTCGGAATGTTAGACCGGTGTCTTTGCCAGATTTTATGAGAACCGACCCTGATGGCACACTTACGGCCATTTACCAGCGCATAAAGGCGGCTTCTTCAAAGCCGAAGTTGCCAAAAGCGCAGGATCGTTGGGAGGTTCTCAGAAAATTGCCGGTGACCGATGAATACGATGATGTAAGGTCACCGGTCGGAGAGTACATCCGACGGCCGTTTAAGGCTTCTTCTAGCAAACAGTTGATTGGTGTGGGAATTGGAAGCGACGTTCCAGATTATCGTCTTGGAACTACCCCGGATGCCTCAAAGGCGGATTGTGGTAAGGATAATTTTGATTTAGAATTAGATATTAATATGAATTTAGGAGATAGGGAAGGTTTTCAAGGTCATTCCCAAATTTTATGTGAGGCATTTAGGTATAACAGAGCCGATGTAGATTCGGTTCTGGTAGAAGGTATATCCAAGGTACAGGAATGCGAAACGACATTAGCAGTATTCGAAACATACGCCAAGATACACCATGATATTTTGGAACGAGTGACGTATGTTCCGACCACTGCTGATGTATCTACGCAAACTACTGTCCCAAAATTACAGCGAACACAGCTGAACTATATATATGCTGGATTTTGGGAGAGGTGTACCTTGAGAGAAAATCAAGGTATGCAAACCGAAGATCAAAATTTGACGTCTCCGAAGCAGCCTACTGTGGTGCTTCAGAAAAATACTAGTGGCCCAAATTCTAATTTGATAAAAAATCTTTTTGGTTGGAAATCTGTTGGATTGACCTTTTTTGTTTCGGCCCTGGTCCTCGGTTTGCTGGAAATTCCAAATTACATCTAGCAGATTGGCATTGATTTTTGTTATTTGGATCGAGCTCACTGGTGGTCCAACGAATTTCATCAAAATTAATTAGCTTCTCCGAGGTCTTCTGGCGAGTAAAGATGTTGTAGCCGGGTACAAACGAATACTTCGAGCTACCATCTTTTCTACGAGAATTCCTCGGAACCCATTAACACCGGATAGGGACCTTTTGGTGAAAAAAAAAATCGTTTAGGGACCGTGCTTGGATGGCTAAACCCATTGGGAATGGCTTCCAAGCAAACCAATCGATGTAGCAGAATGCTTCAATCGAAGATCTTTTTGTTTATGAAGTTCGAAGGACCACTATCGTGAGCTCGATCATCGCATTTCAGAGTATTTAGCAGTGTTAGGGTTTAGATGTAGTATTTATGTAGAAAAAGAATTAGGTAGATTGATAGGAGCTAGGGCAGGAGCACATATGTGATTGGCAGGGAATGTGGTGGGAGTTTAAATGTACTGAAAAGTCATCCCTTTTGATAATTTTGATCGAAACTGGTTGAAAATCGGTTTGGATCGAAATTTGGAATAGAGAGGTGACTTTTCAATACATTTAACGGGGCCTATCACATATGTGCTCCTTTTATCTTGTTAGTTAGGTACTTCCAAATTTACTGTTCACTTATAGTAGCTAGTTAGTTAAAAGAGTGGTATCACATTTCCCGGATTTTATTTTCAGAATGAGCTATTTAGTAACATACTGTTTTCGGCAATATTTTCGTAACCAAATTTGATTGAAATGGGAATATTTCCTTCTTTGAGTGTTCATTACGTTGTTTGATTATTTTTGTTTTTCGTTTTCTTTTCGTTTGATTATTGTTATTTCTGTTATTTGATATTTGAATAAAGAAGGAAACATTCCCATTAGCAAAATTTTGAATATAGAAATAACTTTTTTTTCCGTTTTGATTGCACGTGATTTCCTACTTTCACGTAAATGGTCCATTTTGGAAACGAAACTCCGGGAAATGTGATACCACCCTTAGAAGCGTTTTTAATCAGTTAGGAGCTAGGGCAGGAGCACATATGTGATTGGCAGGGAATGTGGTGGGAGTTTAAGGGTACTGAATTCTTTGTTCAGTACTTTTAACGGGGCTTCTCACATATGTGCTCCTTTATTATTAAAACACAGGATAGAGTCGACTTCAGGTCAGAGAAAGTTGGTAGTTTGAATGAAAGTGTATTATGTAGAAGAGCTAGAGCCGAAACGAGAATTTAATGAACAGGAAATGTAGTCCCACATTTGAAATGATCTGCAATTTTTTTCTTTGTCAATTAAAATTGTAATTGTAGGTTAATATTTTCATCCCATCTTTTGTATGAATTAAAATGTTCAATTCAGTGTGTCAATTAAGTGGTGTTGCTTAATTTGGTTCAATTAAGTGTTTAAGGCTTCAAAAGATCCTGTTGACCAATGAATTCTTCAAATAGTATTGCCAAACTAAAGCTAACCAATACACCATTATGGAATGCTCTTCGGCAGGGGAACTATGCCATTAGCGCGAAGCATTTTTAAACCACTGATGCTGGCGCCAACTAGTATTGTGTTTACTATTTGTTCATCACTTGATTCAATAGGATCAGATCCACCGTTAGGACAAGATGGGTAAGTGTGACAGTTTTTGATCTTAGTGTTCCTCTAATTGACCCTGTCTTGTTGAGGAGGTACGTTTGGTTCATTGTTCGATCTCATGCTTGCAGGATAAAATTATAAACATGGTTTGCCGCTATATCTAGTGCAGGTTTTATACCAATCTGATGCTTTACATTAGTTTTAGACAATCCAAGAAATTTGAATGTTTATTTCAAGTTATAAAAATAAAATTCAGATGAGGACCTTTCGTTTGAGCTTATTGTCAAAACCGTCAACCCAATAACAAAAGTTTAACGTTAAAACACGGTGCACAAAGGCAATTCATTACTCTGCGAGTAAATAACGTAGCTCTTACATACACAAAAAGAAGGACGAGCTTTCCGTAGCACTAGAGAGGGTCTAGGATAAGAGATGAGTGGACTGGTTGATTTTAAGTCAACCGAACTGTCAAAGCCAGAGCTAATCGAGAAACGCATATCTTGATTGAAATGGCAGTGTTGCTAGAAACCACCTACGCATATGTTGCCAAAGTCGTTTGTTTATGTTGGAGTACGAGTTAATACGCTGTGCTTTATCTATACATTTATCTGTGCTGGCTAACTGATTATTAGCCTATTCTCGAAAATATTTCGCAGTGTTTTAAACGTGTTTTTAAGAGTTGATAATGGAATAGTTACGCAGAGTGAAGCTTGCAATTTTGATGTCGATCAATGGTCATTTTATTTTTTTATTTTTGGCAACCTTGTGTTTACACTTCGGATGACTACACAAGGGTTGTGAATGTTTCCTCTGTTATCCTGATTGGTGCAAACAATACTCCCCACGCAGTTGGTCTACTATGCTCGATAGGTAGATTTTGGTATCATTCTGCGTAGCTCTTCTATTATCAACTATGGTGTTTTTTACTTGGAAATATAGCAAAGGTTACTCACGCAAACCAAATACCAAATAGAGGAAAATTTCCCCTACACGATGATGGTTTGCGTGGTTGGCTTCCGCTGTGTGAGGAAAGGGCTAAATAACAGTTTGTTTGTAGAAAGATGTTTTTGTTTCTTCTGCGCGTTTATCTCTTCTTAATAGGTTATAGGCCTATTCGCAGCTGTTCTATCGAAGAGAAAAGGTTTTCTCCGGTCGTTTTCTCACGGAATTCGCGTAATAATTATGACGAACGGTAATGCAAGCGGTAGCGGTGGGGTAGTCCACAACTTTTCGAACCTACGTGGAAGTTTGTGGTGGTAGCCTTGCTGGAGTTGGAAGAACTGTGGTGCGCGGTGAAACCGGAAAGGAAAGCGGACGGAACCTTCGAAGCTTCTGGACCCCAATAATTATGTGCATGTTAACGAGGCACAAACGTCGGAAGATGTTTGGGCGAAGTAAGAGTATGCATTCTAGGACACAGGATTGACACGAAGAGTCGGACTATTACACAAACTAGCTGTCAGCCTGCACGTCGATGGATGATTATGTGAATCGAATTGTATCTACCGAACACTAGCTGAACGGAATTGACTTCCCGATATCCGACAAGTGGGTGGGAACACTGTTGAAGAATATCGCCCGATGGTTATGGCGCACTGTCGGAGGAGCCTCCATGTTTCAAAAGGTCGGAACAACGAAAGCTGGTGTGTCGTCTGAACAAAGCTCTCTGTGGGTTGAAACAGTCCAGTCGTGTCTGGTATTCGAAGCTTCGGAATGACCCCATCGAAGTACGATCCATGCCTGTACTATCGAATCGAAGGCAATCGAACCACCGGCACGTCGCGATCTACGTTGATGACGTGGTCATCTTCTCTAACGACAGAGCACTGACCAACGAATTCAAGCAACACGTTCCGCATGAAGGGCTTGGGAAAAGCAAGTAGCTGGCTCGGAATCCGGATCACATGTGGAAGGGACACCGTATAATTGGAACAGGAGGCGGTGCTGTCACGGTTCACTGCAAAGGCTGCGTCTACTTCGATGAATCCAAGTCTGATCCAAGTCAAAGCTGAACAAGGACATGTGTGTGTGTGTGT